ACTAAGGTAATTAAATAAATTAATGACAAAATAAGAGTTTAAAGAACTAAGGAAACTTCCCTAGTTTTATACACGTTTTTCGCACACGTGTTGAAAAACCGAAATAGAATCCTCTCGGATTCTAACATGTTAATTTTAAGGTATAAGGCAAATTAGAGATTAAAAAAATTAGGCATGTTGATAATATTATGTTTTGAAATATGTCTGGTTGTATTTAAAAATAAAATTGTTTAAGTTGTCATTTAGGTCTATTATGTTTACTACGAGAGACACCTACATATTAACCCGAAAAAATATTAATTTAACCCGATTTAACTTGGTATTAAATTTCAAACTAATAACCAAGGAGCAGGTGTAAAAAATGTCCAAATTAAATTAAAGAAATTTAAGTCTCAAAACTTGTTTGCATGGGAATGATTTTAAACAAAACAAATTTAATTGGCTATATATTTCAACTTAAGTCATGATTAATTAGTATAATATAATGCAAATTAAATTCACAACGGACACTAAATTGTGGGACTAGTGTAAAATATAATTAGGTCAAACTAAATTGTGAGAGAGATTATAGACAAGATTATGGGTGCACCAAGATTAATGACAAGATTTGGACAGTGGTATGGGTTGTGTTAGTTGTATCTTCAATACAAGCTACTACACTCCTGATGAGGTTCACCGACAATCCAATCAGACAAGCTCTTGCAAAAAAAACCACTAGTTAAAAGTGCGGGGTTGATTTATGCGGTGTGTACATTTGTGGGGATCTATCCTTTAAAAATCGTAGGATTAACTAGGTTGCTTTATTTGACACCCGACTGGCACACGAAGCTGGGTTGGTTGAAGAACCATTTGACTGGGCTGGCTTTGGATATTCTGTTGTTCGTCATAAGTGCGTATCCAGGACTTTATCTCCACGACACACAGTGGACACACTGTCCTTAGTCATAGCATACATCTGTTGCGCACATTTCATACCTATAGCAACCTGATTGGGGCTTTCGAGAACACGGGCGCATTCGATGGTGTACTATCGATCGCTTTGGGAGCAACGTTAACTAGGGCAAAAGGGGTATATTCTTAAGAGGCTCGTTGTTATTACTGTTATTGTCACTCTCTTCTTCATTTTCAGGCATCTCAGTGAATACTGTCGGAACCATAGGAGCACGAAAAAAA